GCAGCATCACCATCATCAGCAGCACATTCATCTTCATCGTTATCGTCATGATCGTAACCATCTGTATCAACAGCATCAGCATCAACATCATCATCATCATCATCATCATCGCCGTCGTCATCGTCATTATCAGCATAAGCATCCGCATCATCAGCATCATCAGCAACATAAGCATTATCAGCATCACTATCATCATCACTATCATCATCATCATCATCATCATCATCAGCATCATCATCAGCATCATACACATCACCGTCATCAGCATGCTGATCTGCATCATCAGTAGCAGCGTCGTCATCAGCAGCAACAGCAGGATCAGCATCAGCAGCATCTTTAGCGATATCAGCATCATCATCATCATCATACTCAGCAACAGCATCGTCAGCATTCATCAGCATCAGCATCATCAGCATCAGCATCCGCATCATCATCATCAGCATCAGCATCAGCATCATCAACAGCATCAACAACATCGTCAGCATCATCAGCATCGTCATCACCATCATCAGCATCATCACCATTGTCACCTGAATCCGCATCGTCATCATCACCATCATCATCAGTCACATCATCATCAGCATCGTCCTCACCATCATCAGCATCAACCTCAGCATCAGCAGCATCACCCTCATCAGCATCACCATCACCAACATCAGCAGCCCCTGTTTCATCATCAGCATCAGCACCAGCATCTGCACCATCAGCATCATCAGCAGTATACTCATAATAACCATCCATCGTCAGCATCATCATCAGCACACTCATCATCAGAATCAGCATCAGCATCATCAGCATCACCACCATCATCATCATCATCATCAGCATCATCATTACCATCACCATCACCATCATCATCATCATCAGCAGCATCATCATCAGCAGCATCATCAGATTCCGCCTCGTCCTCCTCCTCCTCCTCTCCTCCTCCTCCTCCTCCTCCTCCTCCTCACCACCACCACCACCACCACCATCCTCCCCCTCCCCATTGCCCTCCTCCTCCTCATCCTCCTTCTCCTCCCCAGTATCCTCCTCCTCCTCCTCCTCCTCCCCCTCTTCCTCCTCCTCCTCCTGCTCCTCCTCCGCCTCCTGCTCCTCTTCAGCATCATCCTCCTCATCCTAATCCTCCCACACCTCCCAGTACTCGCACTCCTCACACTCCATCTCCTCCTCCTCCTTCTCCTCCTCCTACTATTCCTCCTCCTCCTCCGCCTCCTCCGCCTCCTCCGCCTCTTCCTCCTCCTCCTCTTCCGCCTCCTTTTCCTTGTCCTCCTTTCCCATTCCTCCTCCTCCTCCTCCTCCTCCCCCTACAGGGCCCTACAGGCTGTCTTTCCTCCTCCCCACCTTGCGCTGGATCTGTCGAATCACTCGTATCAGAACGCAACACGCTGAGCGGAGGCTCAGGTGTTTATCCTCGTCGTGGTGCCGAAGAGCCTGTCCTGCCGCGCGAGAGGGTCGCCGAGGTTCGGACGCTCGGCAGCGCGATCAGGAGCTACACGAAGGCCCTTCAGCATTGGCGACGCCGCAGAGCTCACGAGCGCCAGAAGTTCACAGAGGACGAACTCCGACACGCATGGCGAGGTCGTGACATGGCCCAAGTTCCTCGGCTTGCCCGCTCGCTGGCACGCACGGGCATCGGCGTGAAGAACCGAAACTACAGAGCACACGCCTCGTGCAACCCGACGTGCGACGAGTGGTCGACCTTCCTCGCGCAGGACCCGCTCCTGGGCGGCTTGGCAGTCGTTCGCACGACCATCCCTCTCTGCCACAACTTGAAGCCCGACAGGCTCACGGACTTGGGAAACACCTCGGACTACGCCATCCCTGATGCGGTGCACATGTCTAAGGAGGACCTTCGTGGTGGCCAGTCGGACTTCAAGATGACAATCAAGGCCCTACGCCGCACGAAGATTGGCAAGTTCGCGCCGTCCTGGTCAGCTCCCTCGGAGATTTTCAAGATGATCGTGGACCCAGGATGGCTCAGCAGTCCGACCTTGTATGCTCGCCTGCCTTGGGGAGTGGGAGCCCGACGACCGCTTATGATGGAAGAAGAACCCCGAGCTCCTGATCCCTATGCGCGCCTGCAGCTTCGCCACCTTGAGGCATTGGGAGAAGGACGACATCGCTTGTACCGTCTTGTCCTACATGTACGGCGCATTGGACTTCTACCCGTGCAGGCGTCTCTCTCGTATGGATTTGCCCCAGATAAGCGAAATGGGAAGACGGGAGCGGCAGGCAGACGGCTGGTGCACGTCATGTGCCCTTTCTGGCGAGCAGTGATGAGGGGAGGACTTCTCCGTGGGAGCACCTTCCGACCGCCGGTGTGGGCTTTCGCTGCTCGGGGCAGGCGAAGGGAGCACTTGATGATGGCGACGAGGATCGTGGCGTGGAAGGGGCACCACTCAGGACAGCACATGCTCCACAAGAGCTACGACGCCACGAACGCGTTCGGGTGCGGCCGCAAGGAGGACCTAGAGCGTTCCGTCAGGGCCCGCTTGGAGGAGGACGAGGAGATCAAGGACCAGGACCTTAACTATGTGACGGCGATCTCCCGTCAGCGACGTATGGCGCTCACCGTCGTCATTCCAGCTGCCGACGGCGAGGTGGCCCTGAGGAGCGGGTCAGGAGGGTTCATGGGGGACACATCGGAACCAGAGATTTTCATGAGTAACTACCACATCGCAGTGACGAAGTGGGCCGAAGTGGAGACGGCTCGCTCTAACGGTGCGATGCTCATCAGGATGCAGAACTTGCCCGAGGTCGACGCAAGCCTGGGATGTTTTATGGACGACATCTTCAAGACCCAGCTTCTGTCGGAGCCCCAGTCCGCGTCGGAGGTGATCCGCCTCTCGCTGCGCAGCGACCAGGGCTTGGACCAGGCTCTCCTGGAGAGGGCCTACGGCCAGAACAGGGCCAAGCAGGACGTTGTGCCTGCTTTTCCTTCGAGGCAGCTGGTACGTCGTACGATTACGGAGCTGAACCGCAGCGGCTGCCGCAGCAGCTACGAGTTGAAGCACCTGGGCGCCTGGTTCAACGCGGTGAACAGCAACAGTAACGAGCTCAAGGCACGGCTGGCTGCGATTACGAAAGGCTGGATGATGGTGCAGGGGTTCTGGTACTCGTCGTCGCCTCTACGAGTCAAGCGCTTGATGTTCATATCATTGGTGAGCGGTGCGGCCCTCTCGGGCACGGTGGCATTTTGCTGGACGGCTGCGGAGACCAAGCAGTTGTGTGGTGCATTGGCTTGCAAGCTACGTTCCATGATGGGAGGTACGGCTAAGGCGGGACCATCACACATCACGACACTTACCACGCGTGAGGTATATAGACATTGGAATCTTGTGCCCTTTGCATTGGAGGCTACAGTTCAAAGGCTGAAGGCATGGCAGGCGTGCAGCACACCTGAAGCGGAGTCATTCACCGAGGTGTGGGGGTTCGGCTCCATGCTGGACCTGCTGTGGGACGAGGAGGTGAACTACCTCTTCATCTCGTTCGATCCGCGGTGCCTGCGCAGCGCCTTTACTGCAGTGCAGTGGGCACCGCCACCTTGCCTGGCAGACACTGTGCCAGCCGCCCAGGACGATCAGCAGACTTGGGAAAAAGGAGAAGCGGACGTCTTTGTTTGCACGATCAGAGCCAAACCAGATGACCCGATTTGTGGACAGAGTTTTCGCACGCGTGCAGCGCTTGTAGCACATGTATGTCAGTCTCGACAACCAGGGCATGGGGGACAGAGCTTATTCAATATTCTAACGCCTAGCAATGCATGCATCAACTGCAACACGGTCTTTCAGAGCAGGGGGGAGGCGGTGAGGCACTTGGCACGGTCATGGCACGCTGGGAGGTGTATCAAACACAATACGGCGTACCCGTACACGCACCACCCGCATACTACGCACGTGTGCGCGCTGTGCCAGTCCTCGTTCATGACCTACGAGAACCTCCGTAGCCACTTGTGTTCACACCTGCCGCCGACGCAGGAGGCAGATCCATCTCAGTCGTCACACCGAGACCTGTACCGTCCAGACCAAGGCCGAGGGCGAAGAGGCCCGCGGCGCCTGCCTCAGGACCACGTTTGAGAGGCAGTGAGATTCGCACAGTCGAGCGCTTGTTTGTCAGCAGCAACACTCTTCTACCCCATGGAGGTGGAGAAGTCAGGGAGGTGGCGCCCACGCAAGGGGGGCTCCTTGGCCCCGTCGCCGACTGGTGGGCAGGCGTCCAACGGCGGAGACGAGAGTCAGCAACGCAAGGGAGCTCGAACCGAGGGAGGAGCACGACTCCAACGTGGCGGCGGAGGCAACGAGGGCTCGGGGACCAAGCCGAAGACCCGACGCGGCGGTCGGAGGCGAGCCGAGCAGAAGGACCGCAAGTTGAACACCAAGGACGCTGGCCTTCGAGAGATTCTACTACTGTTGAGCATGCAAGTGGCTCAGCTCACCCAGAAATCGCGGGCACTATGGGGGATCGCTACCAGGACCATCTTGATCGAAGAAAAGAGCAGCGTGGTGAAGGCCATCCAGCAGGAGTCGAAGGACTTCTCGGACCACGCGGCGAACCTTCGCACGCAGATAGGCAAGTACAAGGAGGACGCCAAGAAGGCGAGCGGCTCCGACGCGGGGGCCGAGAAGGAGGCGGCGACGAAGGCCGAGGAGATCCAGAAGGAGCTGCGCACGCTGGGGCCCCCTGCCCCAGCTCTCTTCGCGGCGCTCGTCGAGAGCCTGGCGACCGAGGAGGTGGGGGCGGTCAACCGCAGGGCGTTGGAGGCGATGAAGCAGGAGTTCGTCGAGGCCCCGCCCACGGACGTCCGCCTGTGCAGGCTGGAGAGCTGCAAGGACGAGGACATGATCAAGATAGTGCTGGCTCTCGACGACAAGGCCAAGGAGGGGGTGATCACAGCCTCGCTGCACGCGATGGGAGCTCAGGTGACGAGCGGCATGGCCCCCTCGGGCTACATGGAGGACGAGATCAGCGCGTGGATCGACGCGCTGAAGGCGGCTTGAGCCCTGCCCGTGAGCTCCTCGGCAGCTTCGCCGCCCTGCGCCCAGGCATTGATGGGGTCGTGTCGCTGTCGTCCGAGTCTGGGGAGGAGGAGGGATGTATGTAGAGCCTAGTCCCCCCCTACTGCCCCCGCGGCATCGCAGTACTTGCGGTGTTCTGACGGGACTATCGCGGGGGCAGTGGGGGGGACGAGGACGGCCTGCGCTTCCTCTTCAGACGCCGACGCAGAGTCGGCAACTCTCCGAAGCCACTGGCCGTCCCGGTGGGTGAGTTTCTCTGGACCGATGTGCACGCACTGCCTCGGAGCCATCGAGCTTCGGGATGCGCAGCCGTGCGCACCTGGCATAGTAGCAGCACCAGCACGGTGCGGACGGCGGACATGTGAATTCTTCTAGCAGTTTTACCCTGTGACGGGTTGCTCAGCTCGCGTGCGGCGTGTGGTCAGTCACCATGTGCACGAGTGCTGATGCGCATACGTGTTAGATGTTTTTAGCGAGCATTGGAGTATTGTGTGATCTTGTCCAGCAGCCGCGTGCAAGCAAGCAAGCTCCCCCTCCCCTTCCTCCTCCTCCTCCTCCCCCTTCCTCCTCCTCCTCCTCCTCTTCTCCTCCTCCTCTTCCTCCTCCTCATCCGCATCCGCCGCCGCCTCCTCCTCCTCCGAATCCTTCTCCTCTGTCTCTCTGCCTCATCCTCCTGCTTCCGCTCCTCCTCCTCATCATCATCATCCTCTTCGTCCTCGTCCTCCTCCTCTTTCTCCTCCTCCTCCTCCTCCTCCTCCTCCTCTTCCTCCTCGTCCTCCTCCTCCTCCTCCTCCTCCTCCTCCCCCTCCTCCTCCTCCTCTCCTCCTCCTCCTTCTCCTCCTCCTCCTCCTCCTCCTCCTACCCGTCCTCCTCCTCCCCCTCCTCCTCCTCTCCTCCTCCTCCTCCTCCTCCCCTCCTCCTCCTCTTCCTCCTCCCCCTCCCCCTCCCAAATCATCTTCCTTCTCAGCCGCATCCTCCTCCTCCCCCTTCTCCTCCTCCTCCTCCTCAGGACCATCATCATCAGCAGCATCATCATCCTCCTCATCATCAGCATCATCTACATTATCATCATCAGCATCATCAGCATCATCATCATCGTCATCACGATCATCGTCATCAGCATCGTCATCATCATCATCATCATCATCATCATCATCATCATCATCAGCGGCAGCACCATATGACCATCACCATCACCAGCCTACCATGAAGTCCAACCCCAAATGTTTTACCACTCGATCTTGCTGGAAATTCAAGCGACGCAGACGACGGACCAATGTCGTGACCAGGGCAGGGGAGCACGCTGTGATTTGATTATTGCTGGGCCAAATCTTAAACCCCCTATCCTCCAGTTCTTGGCACGAGGTGTTCGTGCCCTCGGACAGCGTGCGATACACCATCCTGCTGGGCCCTGTAGCCGACAACGAGCTGCCATCCACCACAAGGTAGGTCGCCGGAGAGGGGAACCGGCCGAACACATGATCGACGGGCCCAATAGAAACAATGTCAGAAGTGTAATAGCAAACGCGCACCATGCGATGATACCTTGAGCTATGCGAAAGCTGGGATACATCAACATACCAAATTGCAAAACCCTGGGCCCTGAATGCAGAGTACGCAGAAGTGCCAGCCTCCGAAGCCCGAATCGATATTTCTGGCCAGCCCACGAAAAACCGAGGTGGGACACATGCTCGTATGTTCGTTGCAGATCGATGACACCGGAGGCCGCACACTGACTGTTAAGGTGGACCCCTTCCTCCTCCTCCTCCTCCTCCTCCTCTTCCTCGTCCTCGCCCTCCTCCTCGTCCTCCTCCTCCTCTTCCTCGTCCTCGTCCTCCTCCTCCGCCTCCTCCTCCACCTCCTCCTCCTCCTCCGCCCCCCCACCCCCCTCCTCCTCCTCCTCCCCCTCCTGCTCCTCCCTCCTCCTCCTCCTCCTCCTCCTTCTCTTCCTCCTCGTCCTCCTCCTCCTCCTCCTCCTCCTCCCCCCTTCATCCTCCTCCTCCTCCTCCTCCTTCTCCTCCTCCTCCTCCTCCTCCTCCTCCCTACCCGTCCTCCCCCCCCCTCCCCCTCCCCCTCCCCTCCCCCATCCCCCTCTGCATGATCCCACCCCTCCTCTTGAGCACCCTCCCACCCCTTCCCCTCCCGCGAGGGGGGCGGCGGGGGGCGCGCCGCACATGGACTTCGCCGAGAAGTTGTCCTGGATGCCCTCCTGGAGGCGCAGAGGGTCGAGGACCGCGCACAGGCGATCGAAGATCGCCACGGGCGCCACGGGTCGAGAACGGCAAACGGAAGACCGATTCCCTTTAGTAGACCTCCCTTTTTAGTAGACCTCCCCTTAGTGGAAACGGCCAACCGAAAACCGAAGACGGCCAATTTTTTAATCGACGTGTCAGAGTAGGAAATCTGCCCATCCCCGACTTAGTGTATTCCCGAGACCGAGGGAAAAACATCATGCATACAAGCAAGCGTCGGCAAAACATTGTTGACGTCTAGGGATTGTGTGTTCGAGCGTCGGGTCCGTCAAATCCGATCCTGGATAAAACGCTGGGCTGGACGAGCGAGGGGGCGGTCTGGGGAACGATTGTACACACCTGGCATTCAGGCTTTCGCAACCTGGGCACCGAGAGGCGACCCGACGGATACGCGACCCCACCGATGCGCTTTGCGCAGGGCATCCGCGGACAGGCCGCCCTGGTATCTAGTGGCTCGCGGCCTAGGAGTCCACACCACGACGGCGTGGATGTGGATAGGGTTATAGGGTCGGGTATCGAAGTGGTGGTTCGATGTGGGCCTGTGGACGCTTCGGGAACCATCAGGAAGCGTCGATGGGCATTTGAAGGCCGAAGTAGCTCAGCTTGTAGCCCTCGTGGTTCAGCTTGTGGCCCTGAGAAATATGCAGGTGGTCGTCGTAGCGCTAACCGTGGCTCTGGTAAACCAGGGGCTCTCCCCGGTGGTTCAGCTAGTGGCCGAAGTTGCCCTCGCAGCTGAGCGGTCTACCCTCGTAGCTCAGCTGGTAGCCTAGCTCGTGGTCCTCGCAACTCCGCTGGTGGTCCCCGTAGATCAGCAGGTGGCCTTGGGTGGTTCTCGAGGATCGGCGGGTGGCACCCGTAGCTCAACTGGTAGCCCTTGAAGCTCTGCTGGTGGCCCTCGAAACTCTTCTGGCAGCCCTGGAGGAGCAGGGGGGGTCTCGCAGTTCTGCGGGCACGGGTGGCCCAACTGCCTGACTACCTACCAGACCACCCCAACCCAACCCGAAGACCCGAATTTCGGGTTGGGGGGGGTATGGGCTCCATGTGTTTTTTCGATGTTCCCGGACCCCCCCCCCCACTAGAAATCGAGGGTAAATCTGAGCCTTCGGGTTGGGTTGGGGTGGTTTGGTGGGTGGTGACTACCGCCCTGGAAGCTCCGCTCGGCGCCCGTGTCGTTCAGCTCGTGGCCCTCTTGACTCGACAGATGACCCTCGTGGCTCTACCTGCGGCTCTCGAAGCTCCGCCGGTGGCCCTGGACCCTCTGCGGGGGGCGTGCGCGGCGCTGCCGGCGGCCCTCGGAGCGCAGCAGGTTGCCCTCGCAGCTCTGCTGGTGGCCCCGGTGGCTCGGATGGTGGCTCTCGGAGCTCTGCCTCGTGTCCCTATAGCTCAGCTCATGGTGCCCGGGGCTTGTCGGCTGGCTTGCGAAGCTCAGCTGGCTGCCCTCGGAGGTCTGCTTCTTGCCCGTGCAGGTCAGAGTGTGGCCCTCGTGGCTCTGCTGGAGGCTCTGGGAGCTCTGCTTGCCCTTGTAGCTCTGCTCGGGCCTCGCTCTGCTTGTCGTTCTCCTCGTACTCTTCGTGCCCGTCGACACTCTACTGGTCACCGTCGTCGGCGCGTTCGTCCTCTATGCCTCCACGGGGCGGCGAGGCAGCTACGACGGGGTGTGTCGGCGGGCCTGGTGTACGGCGGCATCCGCGTCGTCATGTCCAGTGTTGCGTGGTGGTAGTAGCGTCGCCCCCGCTGGTAGAGGTAGTTGTTGCAGCCAGGTGGCAGGGAGGTTGGTGCCGACGGATCTTGTAGTTCGGCTGGCAGCTCCCGGGCGCAGGGTCCAGAATGGCCCTCCTCCTCCTCATCCTCCTCCTCCTCCCCCTCTTCCCTCTCCTCGTCATCCTCAGCGGCATCATCATCATCATCATCAGCAGCAGCAGCAGCATCGTCAGCAGCATCATCATCATCATCATCGTCATCAGCATCATCAACAGAATCGTCGTCAACATCATGGGCAGCATTATCTTTGTCATGACCACCATCATCATCAGCATCGTCCTAATCATGATCAGCTTCTTCGGCATCATCATCAGCGTCATCATCAGCGTCATCATCATCATCATCATCATCATCAGCATCATCAGCATCATCATCACCATCATCATCATCATCGTCATCATCATCATCATCATCATCACCATCACCATCACCATCATCATCATCATCATCATCATCATCATCATTATCATCATCCCCCTCCTCCTCCTCCTCCTCCTCCTCCTCCTCCTCCCCCACCTCCTTCTCCTCCCCCTACTCCTCCTCCTCCTCCTCCTCCTCAGCCCCCCCTCCCCTCCTCCTATTACTACCCCTCCCACTCTTCTTCTTCCTCGTCGTTATCAACATTCTCACCATCGTACTCACAATTTGAATCAGCATACTAAAAAAACTTATAATACAAATAGTTAGAATAATCACCTTAAGAAACCATTGATAAAACATCAACGAACTAAAACATGTCAACGTCAGCATCATCATCATCATGAGCAGCAGCATCATCATCAGCGTCATCGTAATCATGATCAGCATCAGCATCATCTGCAAGTTCATCAGCAGAAACAGCATTATCATAATCACCATCATCACCATCATCATCACCACCACCATCACCATCAGTGTCATCGCCACCACCACCACCACCATCATCATCATCATCATCATCATCATCGGCATCCGAATCAGCAGCAGCAT